TACGATTTAATGAAAGAAGAATTAGAGAGAGTTCAAGATAAAGCTCTTTATAAAGCCCAAGAATGCGAGATAGCCCAAATTTTTAAGTTCAAAACTTCTTACTTGCGAGGCGGAAAAGAATGGTTAACTCCGGATTTGGTGACTTGGTCTCCGAGTTCGCCACCTGAAAAAAATCCCACTAAACCTCCTTTGATTAACCCAGAATTGGGTCAGGAAAAAGAATTGCCGAGCAAGCCGAAAACTTCTAAGCAAGACCGAGAAAAGCAAATCAGGGATAAATTAGCAGAAATTAACGAAAATATTAAAAAACTTGACAAAAAAGAAGCAAAAAGTGCTCTTAACGACTTAGAGGTTGAATTAATAAAATTAGAAAAAGATAGCGATGGTATTAATGATTCTAAAAGGGCAATTAATGATTTAAATGACCGAATTGAAGAAATTCGCAAAAAATTAGAAGTGTTAAAAAAGTCCCTGAAGGAAATTTTAGAGAGTGCCAAAGATTATGCTCAAAAATTATTTAGTTGATTCAAGGATAAAAGTGTCAAAAAAATAACTATCCAAGATACAGAACAAATGTTAGTAGAGTATGATGATGGGGAAAGTCGAATTTTTTCTGGCGATTATGTCAAAGAGGATGAAATATTATCCCAGTTTGAGGAATATTGTCAGCAGAGCGAACAAAAATCAATTTCTCGCCACGAACTGAGTCAAATCGTTAATTTTGTTTCTTCTCCTACTACCCAAAAAAGCCACTGAGAAAATTACAAATACTTTTATCTAAGTGGAATAGGATTGCTGGTAGTTGGCGGATTAGTTACTTACTGATGAATAAAAAGAAAAATGGCATTAAACTAGTTCGGTTCTTTAATTCTTTTCATTAAAATTATAAATTATTACATTGAATGAACAATATTGAAAAAAAAAAAAAAAACAATAGTTTAATCTGAATAATAGGAGGGATAATAACTCTCACCGGAATCGGAGTTATTGCCTACTTAACTTGACCGAAGGGAAAAACCAAGTCAGAGAATAAAGAGCCAACTAATTCAGAGGAAAAAATTCAACAATTACAAAATCAATTAATTTCTCTAAAAAGCGAACTTAATAGTATCTCGGATACTACTAAGAAAGACCAATTGGAGAACAGAATATCCAATTTGGAAGGTCAGGTAAATAATTCTCTTTCGCAGTCGGACATTAAAGAATTAGAGCGAAAAATTAAAGAGATTAGAAAGGAGTTGAAAGGAGACGAACCTGGAGATGATGAACCCCAACCAGGGCAGAAAGAAGGAAAATTCACATTTCATGGTGATTCTAAGGAAAAAAGTGGATATGTCAAATTTGGAGATGAAGAGAGTCCTTTTTTACTTTTTTATATTAGCAATAATCACCCGCAAATTAAAGAGTTATTAAGCAAAGGAAAATTACAAGAGAATAAGAAGTTTACTATTCGCTATGGAAAGGAGGATGAAATTTCTGATAAAGGTTCTATTCTTACTTTTAATGAAAATAATCAAGAATTAGAAATTATTGAAGTTAAAAATCCTAGTCCTGAACCAACTCCTAACCCGCAGCCGGATAACAATAAAGGCTGAAATTATGTTAGCACTAAAATAAATGACAATACTTATAAATACAAAATAACCCTAGACGGTGAGGAAATAGATTTTAGTGATTTTATTACTGCTCTTAGAAATAATAATTTAAGAAAGAACTTTTTTCCAACATTTCAAGGAGCCTTAAAAGACGCAAACTCTAAATTTACGGGCTATTTTTGAAAATGCCCGCCGGTTTCCCTAAAAACCCTTGATAAACTTTTTGAATTTGTAGTAATAAAAACTGATAGTTTTAATAATGTTTCCCAAGATACTTCTAAATACCAAGATCATTTTGGGAAAAGCCGAGATAACCAAGCCGTAAGTTTTTTTAGTCCGAGTGGCAATTGCTTGATTTCTCCGGTTCCAAAAGGCACAGCAAATTACATAAATATTAGCCAATTTACTAAAAATGCCCCTGACGAACAACAACAAGCACTTTGGAAAGAAGTAGCCGATAGTTTAATGAAAGAATTAGAAAAAGACGCTGATGCTCCTCGCTGATTAAATACGGAGGGAACAGGAGTTTATTATTTACATGTGCGGATTGATAAAAAAAGTGGATTTTATTCGAATTATCCAGAATGGCAATAAAACTTCTTTGACTTTTTTGTCAGGCTGTTAAAAATAAAAATATAATATATAACAATTGTTATATATTATGACAAGAACATTAAGTATTGCTATTAAGGAAAACACTTATCGAGAATTAAAGAGTAAAATCGGGCTAGGAAAAATTAGTTCTTTTGTTAATCAAGTAGTAGAAAAGGAGTTACAGCAGTTAATGCAAGTGGAAAGAAAGGAAAAAGAGCAATTAAAAGAACAGCTCATTAAAGATTATCAAACCCAAGCCAAAAATAAAAAACTCCAAAAAGAATTGAAATCCATAGAAGAAACCCAATTTGAAGACTTAAACGATGAGTAAAAATTTAGACAAAAGAGGTAAAGCAAAGAAAATCCCTAAAAGAGGAGAAATTTGATTGATAAAATGCGACAAGATTAAAGAATTTTCCAAAGATTACCGCCCAGCTTTAGTAGTTAGTAATGACCTCCAAAATGAGTATGGAGACTATGCAACAGTGTAGCCATGATGACGACAGATGACTTAGAAAATGTTAAATTGTTCGAAGTTTTTATCCAAAATACTCCGGAAACGGGCTTAGATGAACCTAGTAAAATAGTTCTCAACAATCCCTTTACTATTTTTAAGGAATTACGACTAGAAAAGCATTTGGGAGTAGTTAGCAGGGAAGTTATGGAGAAAGTAAAAATAGCCTGAAAGATTGCTTTTAATGTTGAGGAATGGTAAATCTAAACCTTTCTTCTCGACTGTTTTTCTAACTCCCCTTCATTTTGTTTTGGTAGGTTTTTTGGCAGACTTTTAATAATTTTTCAGCCTCCTCTTTGCCTTCAAAATTCCCCACTTCCACCTTTTTATTTTCTAAGTCTTTATAGTGAGAAAAAAAATGAATGATTTTTTTTTTTCTTTTCTCAGGAATTTCCTCTAAACTTTTAATATAATTTAGTTCAGGTTCGCCATTATCTACTACTAATAATTTATCATCTTGTTCTCCATTGTCATTCATTCTTAAAACTCCAATAATTCGTGCTTTAATATATTCTCCTGCCCCACCAGCCCTTTCGGTCAGGCAAATAAAATCTAATTCATCTCCGTCCGGTGCTAAGGTTTTAGGAATAAAACCGTATTTTTCTGGGTAATGCATAGCAACTGATAAAACTCTATCTAATTCTAGTTTTTTAGTAATTGGATTATATTCATATTTATCAGAACTGCCTTTGGGTATTTGGAAAAAATTAAATTAATTATTTTTTTGAACTATTTTTCTCAATGAACTACCGCTTCAGAGCACTAATAGATAAAATAGAGCAATTAAACTAGTTATACTTAAACCTCCTAGGATTCAGTTTAAAGTGTAAGCATTCTTACGAGAACTTTGTAAGTTTTGTATTCTTTCTTTAACAACCTGGTTAGCAATTCCTAAAGCTGCTCTAGCAGTTGGAGCAAGTGTTATTTTATTTTTTTCTTCATTTGTAAAGGTAAAACCATAATTTTCTTGAGTTTGAGCATCATTTTTAACTCCTTCTATCACCACTTCTTTCACAACCTTATCAGGTTGTTTCTTCATATTCTCCACTTCTTTTCTTAAGTGCTCAACTTCTTGCTTATAGGCATTGGAACCATCTCCTTTCTCAATTAATTGCTTAATCTTGTTTAAGACCTCTGTTTTATTAATTGAACCGGCCACTAAACCTAATTTTAGTTCATCATGGATGAATTTAACTATTTCTTTTTCTTTAACAGTTAGTTGAACTTTTAAAGTGCTAATCTCATTTTGCAAATCAGTAGGGACATTTTTAATTAAATCTTTTAAACTTTTATCGTTGGGGATATCACTCAACTTAAACCCTTTAGTCTTTATTCTAACTTGTTCTTGCAAATCAGTTGCTTGCGAGTCAAATCCTAATTCATCTTGAAAGACCCTTTCGAGTTTGGCATGTGAATTATACTTGCTTTTGATTTCAGAATTTAAGGTCTTTAATTTACTTCCGTGAGGAATTGACAGATTTTGTTGAGTAATAATTTCATTAACTACTTGAGTTTCATGGTCAATTTTTAATTGTTGATGGTCTACACCACAATCACAGACATGATTATCGTGTTCGGCCAATCTTTCCCACAACCGGCGGATTTCGGCCTCTAATTCTTCTACACGGGAAGGATTATTTAATTTATCATAGAACTTTTTCCCTGCTAGGCTTAACAATCCCCCCATCCCTAAACTAGGAAGGGATATTTTTGAAGTTGAACTATTTTTCTTTTGATTTTCGAGTTCAGCCCGAAGTTCTGTGATTAAAGTTTCTTGCTCAGCCAATTTTCTTTTAAATTTTCTTGAATCAACTCATGGTTTATTAAGCCAACTTCATATTTTTTGGAACCGACTTTCCTGACCGATTAATCGCTTAAAAGTCCACTTCGCTTCTTCTAGACTAGTAGGATTTTGAAACTCATCAAAAATAACATTTCATAACAAAGTTATAACCTCATCTCTATTTTTTATCTCGATCTTTCGTTCTTTAATTATCTCTTCTAAGTCACCAATTATACTATCTTTCTTCATAACTTTCAGTTCTAATTTATTAATCTCTACTTCGTGAGTTGCTAAAATTTCCTCCCTGTAAAGTACAAATTGCTTTTTTACCCAATCTAACAATTTAGTATACTCGACTTGGTAATTGATTCATTCTCCTCCAGGAACGACCGCAAAAAGCATTTTTCCATTTCAATCTTGAGTAATCTTTTCGGTTTTAACCTCCGGAGCAGGAGTCGATTTAGCACAGTCTGTTTTATTTTCTAAATCTTTTTCAGCGAGAATATTTTTTAAGTTATTTTGGTCGGCTAAGTCCTTGGATTTTTTACACTCAGTTAGATAGTCATCAATATCTCCAGTAATGTTATAATCTGCTTTTTTCTTGTCTAAAATATCTTTTTCGAACTCTCTTAAAATTTTAAATACCGGACCATTCAAGAGTGGTTCTTCTAAGGATTCAGCCTGGTAAAGGATGAAAGAGCCGTTTTCATCTAAACCTTTATATTGATAAACGTTTAAATTATTGCACTGATTTAAGTGAAAAGAAGTTACTGCTGGTAAATTACTTAAAGCCAAAAATCCTAAAAATTTGGATTTGAAGCCGTTTTTTTTATTTGGTTTAAGGACCGATTTTTTTTGTTTTTTATCTAATAATTTTGGATTAATAGTTATGTTTTCTTCCATATTTATAAATTTTTATCCGATTTTTCAGGATTTAAGAAAGGTTAGCAAGGAAATATCCTTAAAAAAGTGAAAGAAACTCCCCCCCTTTTGCTTATTCATAAAATACTCAACAACTAATTTTTGCTCTCTCTCTCTCTCTCTGTGTGTGTGTGTGTGTTTTGTCACTTAATAGGGTTTTTAAGGAGATATTTCATTTTACACTATGCTGTATTTAATAATACTAAAGTTAAGTTAAATATATATTAATTATTAGTAAGGTATATTTACAATAGTAATTTCAATCCCATTCTCTCGACTTCTCGGTCTACCAACTCTACCATAATTATATCTATTTTACAAAAAAAAAAAAAAAAAAACAGTGGGGTTTGGGGGAGGAATTTTCGAGAACAGTTTTAGTCAAAAACAAAATGCTTTTTATGCTTAAATAGATATAAAAGTTTAAATTTCTAACTTAATTTCTGCCAAAATCGAAGTGGCAAATATCCCCCTCTTCAATTATGTAATTAGCTCCCTTCTTATGAATTTTTCCGGATTCTTCTAGTTCTTTTTCAGTTGTAATTTTTAGTCAATCTTTATAGTTGTATACTTTCAGTTGAATAAAGTTTTTTTGGATATCAGAATGAATTAATCCTGCACATTCACGAGCGCTCATAGATTTTTTAGCCAACCAACTTTTGTTTTCATCTTCGCCGGCTGTAAAAAAAGTTTTTAAGTTTAATAATTTCTTAATTTTCTCTGTCAAAAGCGAAAAATCGGCACCTTGTCAGTTCATTTCTTCCTTTTCCTTCTCAGACAATTCTTCCATTTCTTTTTCTAGTTTAACTGCTAAGGTGAAAAAAGATAACTTCATTTTTTCAGCATATTTTTTTATTTCTTTTATTTCAATTTCTTCTCCACTATAGTTGGCTAGTAAAAAAATAGGTTTATTAGTGAGAAAGTTACAAGACTTTATGATTTTTCTTTCCTCCTCAGAAAAACTTAATTGGTTAACAGGGATTTCTTTTTCTAAATTTTCTTTGATAAATTGTAAAAAAATCTTTTCCTTTTGAGTTTTTTCATTCCGTACCTTTAACTTTTCTATTTTTCTTTCTACTTGCTGTAAATCAGAAAAAATCAGTTCCAATTGAATTATTTCAAAATCCCGAACAGGGTCAACTGATTTTTCGACATGAATTATATCTTTTTCCGGAAAGCAGCGTAAGACGTGACAAATTAAGTCTACTTCACGAATGTGAGATAAAAATTCATTACCTAAACCTAGTCCTTTTGAGGCACCCTTCACCAAACCTGCAATATCAATAATTTCCACTATACTAGGGACGGAAGGACTTTGCCAAAACTGACTTAATTTTTTCAGGCGAGGATCAAGCAAAGGCATTACTCCTACATTAGGCTTGATGGTAGCAAAAGGATAATTAGCAATGTCTTTAATATTTTTTTTGGTTAAAAAGTTAAATAAAGAAGATTTACCAACATTTGGTAAACCAACTAAACCAATTTTTACGGGCATATATAAAAGTTATTTAATGAAGACAGCAAAATGACAAGAGGATATGCATTAGGACATGCATTCGGTCGTCACATCAGGGACGAACAAAAAAAAGATGAGTAAGTTGCTGACAATGCTGGTTGATGTATTCATCACTTTTTTCTCTTCAATTTCTTACACAATGAGTGATATGTATAAAAATTAATTTATTGAGTCCTATGAATGAGGTAGTCCTTTGGGTTTTAGTTATTATTGGAATATCAGTTCCTCCAGTCATTGCGGTTTGGCTTGAACATTATTTTAATAAGAAAAAAAGAGAAGCAGAAACTAAAAAAATAAGATTACTAAGGATATAATCTATAACCAGTTAAAAACAGAGAGTAAACAAAAAGATATTAAAGGTAAACTTGAAATATTTCAAAATTTAATAAAGTTGGAGGAGCAAATAAAAAGTAAAGAAAAACTGACTGCTGGCGAGCAGAAAAATTAGATTCTTTAGAAATGATTAAAAAAGAATTTAAGGCAACTTTTGTAGAAGAGACGGAAGAAAATTTAAAATTAGGAGTAGAACTGGAGAAAAGTTCGGAAGTGAAAAAAGAAGTTAGCAGTCCTGTAAAGAAGATGAAGTCTATCAAAACTAACCGTAAAAAAAAGGAAGTTTAATTTTTTCTTTATTAGTTAGAGTGTTCAATTCCTTTAACTTTTTTGGAAATTATTATTGTTCCTACCACTCCTATTATTACCGCCAAAACTAAAATTCCTCCACCAATTATCCAAGGTAGATAATTAGTGCCTTCCCCTTGACTTTCTTGCCTTGATGGGAAGAATTTAGTAACAAATTCCTCATTTTTGAGATCACTAACAGTAGTTTTGACATGGAAAATATTTGGTCCTTCGAGGTGTCTGGTGGAGGCAAATTCTGGCATCACAAAGTATTTATATTTATCATTTGGGAAATCTTTTACAGAAGAGGCAATCATTTGGGAGTTGTCATCAATTAGGATATCGAAATCAAAATAGTTTTTTTTAATCCAAGCGTTTCTTGTGGGGTTATTCGCATCAAGTTTACAAGGAGCTCAGATCGTGTTTGGGAATTTTCCGAAAGTGTTGGCAAAACTAATGGTTTTTCGTGGATCCCCCTCTTTACCCCTTGAAATAAACCCACTCACAATAATTAATTCACTAATCAAACCTTCTTTTAAACTCTGAACTAACTCCTCGCTTATAGATAAGTAAGGCACTTTTTCATAAAAATTAGTGTCTGTTCTTATTTCTATGTATTTTCTACGAGTTTCTGAATCCTTTTCTAACATGCCTGTTAAATTTCTTTGCTCATCTAATGGCAATTGACCTGACTTAATAGCCTCCCTTATTTCCATTAGAATACGACCCAATCAATTCTTACCATTGCCATCTTCCCCATTGCCTCAGAAAGCATCATGCTTACCGGAATCTTCTATTAATTTCGCCTCGCCAGTATCTAGAAGCATTTTTCTAAGGTCTTCATGTTGACTAAATTTTTGCTTTAATACCCAACGCATTGCTCTTAGATTGTAACCTCCTTTTATTCACTCACTTCTGGCAGTTTTGCCACGGGTGAATTTTTGAGCATCTCTGCCGGTATTCTTTTTCCAAATTTCTTTAGCAAGGTTTATTTTATCGGATTCGCTATATTTTAAGGCTTGAAAAAGATGTTCGGCAGTAGTTCAAACCATTTCTTCCGTTAATCATTCAGAATCAGGAGCCACTTCGCCCTCTTCTGTTAATTTACTAGGGATAGCCCTTTTTATGGGAGTTCCTTGGTAAAAATTAGTGAATTCATAATACGGTTTACCGTTCTCATAAAATTTAATTTCTGAACTTCCTTGGAGTTCAGCAATGGCTTGTGGATCAGATTTTCCAAATCGGGATATTCCGCCACGGGTTTTTTCCCATATTCTTTCATTATCGTTCTCTAATTCTTTGTCTAACTCTTCATCTATATTAGTTTTTTGAACTATACTACCACTATCCAAATCTTTAACGATGGCTTTTTCTATATAGATTTCAAAGAAATCTTTAAAAGTTAAACCTTCTTTTTTTTTTTTTGAAAGTTCATAAAAAACTGCTGTTTTTTGAGGTAATAAAACTTCATCTCAGTCTGCAATTACTTTTAAAGGACGACCTTTTTCTATGGATTTTTCTTTTATTAGTTCGTAAAGTGAATTAATTTTCATGTTTCTTATTATACTTTATTAATATTTTTCAAAAATTTTTATTTTTTTATTTTAAAATCGTTTGATTGCTTTAATTTTTACTTATTTACTTCTACTTTTAACTTGGCTTCTAATTCTCGTTTTACATCACTATGAAAAAATTGCTCATCTCTCAGAGAACTAATTTCTGACCTAAGATGGAAAAGATTATCAGCTTCTATAAGTCTACTTACACTTCCATAGAGTAATTTTTGATTAATTATAACCAAGGTTTTATCAGGAGAAAAAAGTTTTACACTATCAGATATTATAGAGGGGTTATCGTCAATAAAAATATCAAAGTCAGGGTGATTTTCTTTTATTCATTTTGGTTTAGGATTAGAAGCAGTGTCTAAGTGGAATATTATTTTTGCTTCAGAAAGATTACCGAAAGTATCTTTCATCTTTTTTTCTTTTCTTTTGTCTCCATCCGGAAATCTCCGTCCATTATAGTGTGTCAAGAGAACTAACTCTTCTACAAGATTTTCCTTAATTGCTCTAAGCAATTCTTCGGCAGCAGTGGTAAAAGGAACTTGATCGTAAATGTTTTCTCTTTGTCTAACATTGTCCTGCTCTCTGCTTCAATTTTCAAAGACTCCTTTAAAAGTAACCGGGTTTTCTTTCATCATTTCTTTAACGCATTCGTAATTTACTCAACTAACATAGGCTTGCATTGTATCATCCCAATCAGAAATTATTTTTAACTTTCTGCCCTTTTCCTGGCTTTTTTGCTTGATTAATTCGTAAAAAGAATTGATTTTAGTCATGTTTTTTGCTGTATTTTATACTATTATTTACTTTTTTTATTTGTGATTTTTGTGCTAATTTTACAGCACTAGCGAACTGTTTTTACCATCACTACAAAAGCAATTAAGCAAATATATAGAAAATTAGGTAGTGAATATTTTTAGATTATTCTAATTTGCTATTTCTCTCTCTTCTGACCATAGGCAATTAATTTTATACTCGTTACAATATCTATTTTACAAAAAAAAAAAAAAAACAGTGGGGTTTTGGGGGATTTCAAAGTATTTTTTCTTCTTTTTAAATTTGAGGAACCTCTTTAGTCGACTTTAGGTAAAACTGAGACAAACATCCTTTTTTTACCTTTCTTTTCACTCTCACACTTTATAAAAGTGTAAAGATTATTGATTGTTTGCATATTAAATTGTTGGAATTTTTTAATGGTAATTCAAAGTCTCGACTTCCTAATTAACAAGGGGTTTTAAATAAAAATAAACTTATAATAATTATTGGCATTGTAATATTTAAAGTACTATATATTATTTTTCTCTCTTGTTAGCAATTCGATCCCATAAAAAGCCAGTAAAAATATGAAAGAAGAAAATTAATTTCTCCTTAATAATAGCCTCTGATTAATGAAAAATTCAATAAATGGTAAGAAAAAGCCAGAATTAGAAATCATTGAAGTTAACTCTGAAAAGTTTATTTTTAAAACTACTTATCCGTGGGCTTTCTGTCTAAATGCTAATCAAGAGGAAAAAGTGAGGTATTATTCTCTTCCTATTGATTCCCTGAACTATCAAAAGTTGCAAAAAATAGTCCCTGATTTTGACTTTTATCTAATTATTGGTAATCTTCTTCAAGTGAACTCTTCTTCTAAAAAACTAAGAGGTTATCAGCAAGAGGATGTGAATTTTCTTAGTCAACTGAAAAGTGTAGCCATTTTCAGTGAGATGCGTACGGGCAAAACCCCTACTGCTTTAATGATTTTTAAACAGTGGCCGGTAAGCAATCTTTTAATTATTACTCCTAGCATTTTGCAGCAACACTGGCAAAGATCGGTCGAAGAATGGCTAGTTAAGCCAGCCTATATTATTACTTACTTGGAAAAGGAACAACGTTATGATTTATACCACCGATTTCTCCGCGAACCTGAATGAATTATTATTGTTTCTAAGGATACCTTTAAAATCGATAGTGCTTATTTCAAAAAAATAAAGAAAAAAAAGGGTAATCACAATAATTTCTGTGTTATTGTTGATGAGGCTCATTTTCTTCGCAGTCGGAGACCTCAGTCTCAACAAAGCAAAAGCATTTATGCTTTGCAAGACGCTTCTTTTAAAATGGTTTTGACAGGAACACCAGTCGTTAATCATCATGATGATATATTTGGCATTTTGAAGTTTCTCAAGCCTGAAGTTTACTCTTCTTATTGGAAATTTGCTGAACAGTATTTTTACATTCAAAAGTTAGATTTTCGGAAAGGGAAGAAGAATTATAAAATCTGGCGAGTAAAAGATTTTAAAAGCCGACAGTTGCAACAAGATCTCTATCGGCAAATAACTCAATTTTCGGTCAACCGAAGACAGAAAGAAGTTTTGCCTTGATTGCCACCTGTTATTTATCAAAAAGAATATTTATTATTGGAAGAAGAACAACAAAAAATTTACTCTCAATGAAAAGAAAAATGGCAAGAGTATCAACCTCTTGAAGTTTTAGCCAAATTAAAAACCCTCACTCTTTACCCTCCTGCCTTGGGATTCGCTTTTCATGGCATTAAGATTGATTACCTAATTAATTTCTTTCAGGAGCGAAAAGAACAAAGTGTGATAGTTTTTTCCACTCGTAGTGAAACATTTTTAGAGCCACTGTTTCACATGCTAAAAGAAAGAGGAATAGAGATTGGTCTTATTATTGGAAAGACTAGTTATCGGGAAAAAGAAGAATTTATTAGACAGTTTCAAAATGGTGAATTAAGTATTTTACTTTGTAATATTCAGAGTGCTGGGGTAGGATTAAATCTGAGCCGAGCCGAGACCATTATTTTTGCTGACCGTAGTTATTCTCCTGCTGATAATGAGCAGGCAGAAGCTCGCTTCTTATCCACTACTGAATCTGAACTACCCTGTGTTCGTTTAATAATCGATCTGATTTGCAAAGGAACAATTGATGAAAAAATACTTAAATTGCTTAGAAGGAAAGAAGATATAACCAAATTTCTTAACACCAACCCTAGTTATTTTTTTGGTTAGGATACCTTGTTAAGCCACTCTCCTTTTTTTATTTTTCTGGAATAAATAAATTAGTCCAAAACTTACCCCAACCACTAAAATTAAAAAGATAATGGGTCTAAGTATGGAGGGTTCTTGATTTGAAGGAACCGAGTGATTTTGCAT